CTGATGCCAGGGGCTTAAGTGGAGAGCGAAAGTTTTGAGAACGATGAGGGCAATGATTGTACAAATGTGCTTGACACAACTGATGTATGTATGGATTGTGATAAGAGCTGTATGAGCCCCTAATAAAATGATTTAAAAAAAAAAAGAAAGTTGGACATTGAATGGCAAAGACCGCAGAAGAAGTGATGTGTTTGAACTGTGGTGCTGGCAAAGACTATTGGAGGTACCAGGGACTGCTAAAGGGACAAACTCATCTGTCTTGGAAGAAGTATGGCTAGATTGCTCCTTAGAGGAAACAGAGGAAAGACTCTGTTTCACATAGTTTGTACTAGTTTGTACATGTTGTCAGCAGAGAGCATTCCCTGGAGAAAAACACCAGGTCTGGTAAAGTAAAGGGGCAGTGAGGATGAAGAAGTCTCTCAAGGAGATGGGCTGACACAGTGGCTGGAACAACCCACAACAGTGCGGAGGGGGTAGGACCGGGCAGTGTTGGGTTCTGCTGTGCACAGGATCACTGTGTGTCTGACTGCGCTCAATCGTGCCTAGCAGCAACAACAGGAAGAGGGAGGCACACCTGACAACTACAGTCTCTGCTGAGAGTTTGCTGCAATGACAGAGAGAAACGGAATGGGCATTTTTATTTATTTTTAAATGGGAGAGCGTGTTTATGTGCTGGTGAGAAGGCTTCACCAGAAAGAAAACTATGGTGAAGGAGCAGGAAGGGGAAGGTACAGCGTCCAAGTTCTTGGGAAGGCAAGAGAAAATGAGATCCAAAGTCTAGAGGGAGGTGGCCTCAGAGGCAGCCGAGATAGTCATGCATCGTCATTGAAGGGAAGGTGCATGGAAAGTGAGGGAGCTCCTGTTGGAGGATTTCTATTCACTCAGTGACGTTTACAGTAAAAATCATTAGCTGTCTGCTAGCGAGAGAGCAGTGCAATACAGGCAATCGGAAGCGAAAGAAATCATAGCGTAATTGTTTGGAGCCTGGGAGAGTGAACCGTTTGTTGCTGTTTTTAGATGTTGTCACGTCTGTTTCAACTCCCAGCGACCCCTGAAGAAAGCCCTGCCACCCTCACAATTGTTATGTGTGAGCCCACTGCTGCCACGGTGTCAAATCCAAGCAGACTTTCCTGAGGGTCTTCCTCCTTTTCGCTGTCCTTCTAGTTTACCAAGCATGCCATCCCTTCCTGGGGATTGATCTCTCCTGATAACATGTTCAAAGTACACAGGACAGTCTTGTAGCCTTGCTTCTAAGGAGCATTCTGGCTGTATCTCGTCTATGACAAATTTGTTTGTTCTTTTGGAAGGCCATGATATAATCCAAATGCATAGTTTCTACTTGACTCTTACTTACTCAATGTCCAGTTGTCACATGCATAATTGAAAATGCCAGGGCTTGGACCAGGCACACCGTAGTGCTCAAAGTACCTACTTGCTCTTTAACACGTTTAAGAGGGCTTGAGTGGCAGATATCCTCAATGCAATGCATCACTGAATTTGTTGACTGCTGCTTCCACGAGCAGTGGAGGTTTTGAGAGGTAAAATTGGGTGGCTGGGCCGTAGGGTAATGTTTTTCTCCAGCCACTCAGCTTCATGGATAGAGCAATAGTACAAGTTCTGGGTAGTTATAATCAAGGGGTAGTGGGACAAGGGATTCCATATGGGGTAAGGGAATGATTAGGAAGTGAGGAGATGAGGCTAATAATGGATGATGAGGTGGGTCAGTGGATTGGAAGAGTCAATGAGAAAAGTTGTTAGGAAAACATGCTGGAAGGACAGGGAAGAAAGGAGCATGGCAGGCCAAGGTGTGGTGGGAAGAATGGGGAATGGAAGTCAGATAATAGGACCCTTGGAATGAACACCTCAGAGGTGGTAATGTGATTAGTAGTGATGAGGTCAAGGTGGGTTCTGGCTAAGGTATGGGGAAGGGAAATTTCCTGGAAGGTGAGGATGTTGCCAATAATTGTACCAAGATTTAAGTAGAGAGTAATAGAGTGATCCATTCTTATGGTAGCTCTTGATATCTACTCCAAAGATAGGAATCCTTTATGACAGATTCCCTAGAGTGTGGGGGGAAAATCAAGGTAAATGTCATGAGTCCGGTGGTGGCATCAAATTCTATGGCAACCAACCCACACTACGTGCACCTCTGTAGAGGACGGGCCCTCCCAACTTTATAACACGCTCCCCTGGGGCAAGCAGGAGCCCTCCAGACAGAGGAAGGAAAGACCTTCAGGTATCCACAGAGCCTGGGGACAGCAGCTGCCAGAAAATGATGTGAGTGATGAGGGACACAGGGCTTAAAAGACAAGTGACAACACACCAAACAAGTGCCTGCAGAGACCACAGAAGTTGTGTGCTGTCACACACAGTGGAAGGTAGTCTCTCCCGCAAGTGCCAGATACAGGGGTCAGGCTCTCCCGCTATGGTAAAGGCTATCAGGAGGCAGATGGGGCCGGGCCAGATAGGTCATAAGGCCAGGTTTACCCTGCCTGGCCTGAGCTTAGGAGATTTTCAAGGCCCCATTTGTCCAGTACCCTTGCCCGGGACAGTGACAATAAGTTCCACCTCGGGAATCATTTCTCCATTATGTCTCTGGAAAGATAACATTTACCTGAACCTTTGTTTTCTCTCCTACCTGAGAGGGTCCTGATGATAGCACAAGCTACAAAGATTTACATGCATTTAGATAAATTGAGACAATTATTGAACTAGCCTTTGAAATCATCTTAACAATACCATGTCTCTGTCAACTAGTCATTCCTTGGCACACAAAGACAGCACTCTTTTTTGAATGTTAACCAAGCGGCGTTGGCCTGTCCAGACTCCCCAAAACTGAGGGCAGGTTAACCATTTTCCAGTACTCGTATCCTTCAGACCCAGCTGTAGGGTTTTAGGGTTAGGGAGCCTTGCTCTGTTCACTGTATTTCCCGCGTTCTGCTAGCAAAAAGCAGGCGCTAAAGACTGGGAACACTGAAGGCCTGAGAGCCCAGGCAAAGCTGTCTTTCCCAGTCTTTCCCACCCCTCAGGCAGTCTGCCTGCATACTCACGAGTTGACACACAAGACCACGATGTTCTTCCATAGGTTCCGCGTGCCCACCACCTTCACGATGCAGACCTTCTTGGGCCTCCGGGATAGTTCCTTTTCTAGCTCTGCAAATAAACAGACCATGTGTGTTAGTCTGGGTACTTTAGAGAAACAAATCCACAGA